TTCATTAGTTGCACCAGAACCGGTAGCCACACACACACACAAATACCGCTAGCCGCACACACCAATACCGCTAGCCGCACACACCAATACCGCTAGCCGCACACACCAATACCGCTAGCCGCACACACCAATACCGATGGACATACACACCAATTTGGCGTGTATTCATTTTAGCTGGGTTTTCAAGTTTCAAGCCCAACCCCAAACTCAAAATCCTTAATCCGTCAAACTCACTAAGATTTCACAAATTAATTCGCTAGGTATTTTGTATAGGTCTTCCTGCTTATGTATTGTTGGATTGTCTCCCCATTTTTCCTTAGTGCCTGATGGAAGCCGTTGTGCTGTTTCAATATGTTTATTATTCCTGATGTTGCCACAATCCTTTTTACATAATTCTCTAGGTTTCCAAGTTGTAATGTTATTCCAGAGCCTGGTGCGTTTTCTGTAAGGCATTCCATATTTACAATAATCAACATCTTTAAATTCAAACTCATCCATAAACTCCTGATGTTTTAATAATCCAGTTTGTGGATTTTCGATTACAAAATATTTAGGATTGAAATATTTGATAATATCAATAGTTTTTAAGACAATACTATTTGCATATTCGATATTCCTAATTCCCCTAGTTTTTGCTACACTATATTCAGTGCATGGGGGACTACTCCAAATAAAATCAAAATGGTTTCTGTCAAACTGTTTGTAATCCCACTCCAAAATATCAGTGTTGATATCAGCATTGTTCAAGTCTAATGAAATAACATTAAAACCTAAGTCACGTGCAACTTTACCAACAGAACCACTGCCTGAAAATAATTCTAATAAATTCATTTATTAGAATTATGTAGATATTAATTATTCTAATACATATACTCCATAATCATTTTTTGTAATTTTATAATAGTCTAATGTTTGTTGCTTTGGTTGTTTGATTTTGTTTGAAACTATCATATCATAATAATGCTGTCTTTTTGTTTGATGGTCGCCCTTAGGTGTTCCTATTGATTTTTGCTTAAAGATTTCATCCATCTCTTCTTTACTTTTATTATCAACGGGTTCAACTGGTTTCATTTTGTCATCAATGGATTTAATCATATCATTTAAGTTTTTGATATTTTTACTAATTAATGTTATATTTTCCATTAAATTATTAATAGTATGATTCTCATTTTCAGACATTACTATATATTTATTCAGATAATTATTTATTTATTTAATTATATATATTTACAAAGTGCAATTATGTTAAATCTACTCTTTAAATACTAATTTTTCATTATTTGTTTAACAGTTTCCTGCGTTTCGTTATCACCATTGTCCGAGAGTATAGCATCCCTACCCCATTTGAATGTAATATTATGAACATCGGTTTCTAAGTTGATACTGTGTTTAGTTTTACCAATATTTTTTTTTGGTCGTTTTTACTTATTTTGAAAGTTGTCGGAATACATGAACACTTACATTTGTTATTATTTTTTATTTCTAATTCATTTTTCATCTCTAACACCCTTTTACACATCGGACAAGAAAACTCAATTACTGCTGTTTCTTTAACAATTTCTTCTTTTTCTTCATCAGTTGAAGAAACTGTAGTATCTGTTTTATTCTTTATGTTTTTCTTTTTTCCCATTTATATTAATATTTATATTTTTAATATATTGTATCAAAAACTTAATTAATTCTAAAATAAAATAACATATTTTTTACATCTATTATCAGTTATGACAACCCGTTCTATATGTTCTACTTCATTTATTATATCAATATAATCTGAATAACTCCTATTCATATAAATAATAAGATAAAATAGTTATTTAATCTTATTATTTTCATGCATAATAGAATATTGGTGGGGCTCAGCACTGGGGTTTTCTTTGCAACGCATCAAACTAATTAGCTTCAATGCTTATTGATTGAAGTTGATGAAAGAGCCTGTTCTACTACGATAGTCACCATTCATATCATAGCAATGCTTTCATACAATAAATAATAGTAAATTATTTTCTAAATATGTTTAATATCAACTATATGACAGATGTTCCAATAATAAAACCAATAAACATAACTGAATATGAATTCAAGCAATCCAAATATGAGCACGTGCCAAAATTACCATTTAGAAGTATTATAGTTGCTTCTTCGACAGGCGGTAAGACTGTCCTTATTCAAAATCAAATTTTGAATGTTTATAGAAATTCATTTGCAAGAATATTTATATTTTCACCCAGCGTCCATAATGACCCTACATTTACAGAGGGACGAATTGCACGTGGATGATGAAAAAGAACAAATTTATTTTGATAATTATAATCCAAGTGATTTAGAAAATGTAATTGAAAGACAGAAGAAAATTATTAACTATATGAAGTCTAAAAAGATAAAGAAACTGCACTCAAAATTAATCGTTATAGATGACCACGCAGACGACCCTAAATTTGTTAGATATAGTAAATTATTACATGGATTATTTACAAGAGGCAGGCACGATGCAGTAAGTGTG